CCTGCACAGTGCGGCAGCTGGAGAGGAGTGGACCAACTCGCCCCCGCCTCACCTGCTCAGGCTGCTGGGATTTCACAGCCCCCGCCAGCTCTCCTGGCCCTCAGCCGAGAATTCCTCATTCTGAATGCTGGTGTCAGGAGCTGGCTTCCCACCGGCACGGGAGCACGGCTTCGATGCTGCAAGCAGGGCAGAGGATGACATATTCTCCAGTTAGAAACAAAATATATTTATGAATCAGAGTAGTCCTGGGGGGGGGAGGGAATAATCATATTTACCTGTCCTCTGTCCCCAGAAATGAGGCAGCAAGCCTTCCAACCAAACTGTCTTGTTTTCCACAGGAAGGTGGAAGCTCTGGTTGGATCCAGGCCAGGGGGGTAGCTGTGGAGAACGGCAGCTTCTGCCTCACCAAGCCGAGGAGCAGTGCTGCTCCACCACACCAAAGGCTGCCATGCTATTTCCCACTGCTGGGTGACGAATCTCCAGCAAGCGTGGCGGGATGGTTTGCAGCCGCAACAAGTGATGGCACACCGCTTTGGCAAGGTGAATCATCTTCCCAGGGTGACTCACCCCGTGTATTTCCACCCGGGCAGTGCTGGCCCTGCGGCACGATGCCGTCAGCAGTCCCACAGGACCGTGGGCACGGGAGAGCACCGGGGCACCCGGCACAGCCCCACAGCCCCCCCACGGGACCTGCTCTCAAGGAGCGCCTCGCCATGCCCCAAGCAGAGGGCAACTTCAGTGACATCCAGCTGCCAAAAGTCACCCCCCAGGGCAGGGATCAGGTCTCTGCTCACCCCAGTTTGCAAACAGCAGCTCTCGGGGAGCACAGCCACCCCGTCACCCGGGGCTTCATTGCACAACCTGGGACACACGCAGCAGGAAAGGATCCTGGCTTTTAAAACGTTATAAAGCAAGGCCTTCTTGCCTGTTAACAGTTTTAAATAATACTTTCTTAATTCTCCTCAATGCATATATTACACACATTTTAATTACATCTTTAACTGCTAACAAGAGGGGTGTACTTACTGTCACAAAAACCTCCTCCTTTGGTAGCTGCAATATCTTTATGGAGGGGTAACTTCAAGACCTTGTCTAATTATCGTGCGTCAAAGCCTTTATTTCAGATTGCCGCTTGCTCTCCTACGTCTCAGCTAAGTGGCCTCGTTCAAGAAACTGAAAACACGATGAGGCATTTTTCCTTGAACTGCTTTAGCCAGCAGGCTTTCATGATTTAAACCACTACTCGAACAATACTGACGTACTACACTGGAAAAGAAAACCCTATCGGAGTTCTGTACCAGCAAAGGCCTTCTGTCCTGCCAGTAATTTATTAAGCAGAACACACACCTTTCAGAATTGTAAATAAAGATTAAGTATCAAAGACGACCCTATTGATTCAAAACACACCGTGTGTCTTGCACACTGCATATTTTCACCCTCAGTTGTACTGAATTCCCAGAAGGTCATGCCAGGACGCTTACTGCCACTAGTTTGACACCGAAGCCACTTCCCAGATGACCACATTAGGTCTGCAGCCCAGTTGTGAACTTTAGCAATACAAACTGGCCCGAGTGCTTTGCTACTTATTAACGTGAAATTCCAGGAGACTGCGATAAAATACTCTGCCCGATAGTTGTGGGAAGGCCACCAAGAGCCCAAAGGTCATTTCATTCGCCCAAAGGCACCTGCTTTTACGGTGACATTGGTGACTTTGGGGGTGGCCCTTCCTGCTTCTCCCACAGACCTCCCCTCACCACAGTGCATGTTGACAGAGCTGCAATTTAGATAAAAATGATAAAAATTAAGAAGCACTCAACACCTTGATACACGGGAAGGGGAGTGCGTGGGCCCCTTGTCTGGAAAACAGAGCTGTGGTGGCATCTGGGGAGCATCAGCGCAGAGGTGCCAGCCCCAGCCCCTTGCACCCCAACACCACCCTCTGCCCGCGCTGCCCCAGAGCCGCACGCTCCCGTT